ACAAAACCTGAAATCCTAGCAACCATCTCCTGATAGAGCTGAATGTTTTGAATGATGAATGAAAATAGCACAAAGTATACAAAAGTAACTGAGCTACAAGTTTCACTTTTTAAATGGAATTACTGAAATAAATCTACTTTTTCATGATATTCTAATTTTATGACCAGCACCTGTATATCTAAGTGAGAAAATATGTAAAAGTAAATATTTTACAAAGTAAAGAAGTCACAAAACCTGAAATCCTAGCAACCATCTCCTGATAGAGCTGAATGTTTTGAATGATGAATGAAAATAGCACAAAGTATACAAAAGTAACTGAGCTGCAAAAAGTACAAACAATGAAACACAGAAATCATGAGTTTTGTCACTCAATTATAGAGAAATAGACTGTGATAACATTTAAACATGTTTGTATAATTTTGAAGAAAAAGCTCCTTATTTAACAGTAAAAGTTAAATTATTTTCTTCATTTTATCATACTTCTGTTGCTGCAGATTTTAAAGCGAGTACATTTTAGTAACACAAATCTATTCTAAATTGCTTTAGGCCACTTGTCAGAAAAAGAATGTGCCTGTTTTTTGCAGCACTGCTAAATGTCACATTGTTTTTTAATAAAGATTTAAGGCAATAGTTTTTCTATATGTAAAATAAAGTGTTAAAAATAACCTTAAAAAGCATGCATCATTACTTCTAATAATCTTCAGGGGCTGAAATAATTTTGTGTTAAATGTAGAAAGTCATTTATTATTTTATCTGCTTATTAAAATTCTACTTCTTATCTGCTTTTTTACACAAATATAATGAATGTGAACCAACCAATACTTTTATTACCGTCATGAAAAATGGGCGATCATGTTAACAAAGCATCAACTTACAAACTCAAAAATGGCTAAAACTCAGTCAGCTTTGTAGATTCAGGTGAGAGCTGGTGTGGTGGCAGCTGAGAGGTGTTCTCAACACATTCTTCAAGCACTAAAGCCTGGTTTATACAACAAGCAGATCAGTCATTACATATCAGTTCAATGACTTTGTCTCAGTGTGTTTATAAGATGCAGGGTATAAAAATGCTGTAATAACTCAAAACTCCCATTGTAACATATGTTATGCCAAGCAGGATTGAGGGTTGTTGTTGTTGTTGTTTTCACTTGACAATGTGTCAGATGTCTGAAGAGAAGCTCGTGTTGTTTGATTAGGAGTTGGAGGAAACTTGTAGGGCTGGYCGATATAGCTGAAAAACTTACTATAAAAATGATATAAGTGTTTCATATCGATCGATATCAATAATGAAATAGTTTTAGACGTCAATCTGACTATTGTCGAACTTAAAATATCTGAAATACTGCCAAAACTGGTGATGTGACCTTTCCTCTTTTATCCACAATTTCTTTCCAGTTGTTGCACTCATTTTCTCCTTTCACTCCATGCCGTTCTTTATTTTTCAGCCATTCTGAGGCGCGATGGAGAAACATGAAACTGCTACTGCACGTTACTCCACAGGTTTTGCTAGCTTATCTTGTTTAGCTGCAGGCTTTTAGGTGTTGGGGATGTTGAATTGTCACCTTCAGTTTTTAGATGCCTCGTTTCAGTGTAACAGCATCCTAAAACAACTAATAATTTCATTTTAACTCTACGATGGTGGACCAGTCCAGCAAGCTAGCGCTCTATCGTTTGAGTGTGTCGACAAGAAGGAGAAAGAAGCCCCTGTTTACACATTACAAAATAAAGCACAAGCGATTTATTTTTTAGCAGGCATTTGTGGTCTATTAACAGCTTGAAACTTTTATTTTGAAGGTGAATCTTAGCTTTCCTGGTGGTGTTAAGCTGAAAGGTCCTTGCTTATTTTATAAGAAAGTTATCAACCTAATTTGTTTTTAGTTTTGTTTATTTTGTTTTTGTTTTTGGTCTTGTTTCATTTTGTTTTTGTTTAGTTTAGTTTTGGGTTTTGTTTCGTTTTGTTTCGTTTTTCTGCGTGCTGAATAGGATCAGACCAGCTGCTCCCCTAAGCTGTCCATCTTGCAAATTTAACCACCAGCTTCTAGAAGCAGACCATTTTCAGCAAACTGCGGAAGCACACYCTGCTCTGCATAAATAAAGTTCTGACCAATCAGACACTGCAAGCCTCTTAGGTCTGTAAGACAGAGTTCTGACTGGGGGTGATGTACAAGACAGGTCTCACTGGGAGATAACAGACGCAAGTTACGCAATTTTCGTCACACAACAGAAGTATAAACCAACCTTAACTAATTGCACAAGATCTTTATTACAAACTTTAGAATATATGGTGGAGATCTAGTCTTTGACTGTTTTCCCAGAAATATCAGTGAATTAAATTAACCTCAAAACCACAAAATTTAGAGTTTTATGTTGAAAAGGATTAAGATGCACTTGTGCTGAAAGTCCATCCTCTGTCACTCTTTGTCCCTCAGAGAAGCTGGACACTCTGGAGGAGTGGGTGAGAGAGATCTTCAGCAAGGTGCCAAACAAGTGAGTATCAGAGAAGAGGCTCTCAGTCACTTTGAAGAGGTGCTATCATTATGCAGATTGAGTCTCTGTATCCTCTCCTCCATATATGAATGTCAAACCTTCCTTCTATTTTCTCTTTAACTCGAGGCATTCTTCTCTGCCATCGTAATGATCCTGAATGGCTTGCTTTATGAGTCACCGGGGTACTTTTCAGGGAGTAAACATGCATGTCGTGGTTACATGAAAGCCATAAAAACGCCATGTTGTTTTTTTTTTTTAGAGCTTTCGTTTCAATTAAACGATGACATTTTCTGTATTGAGCTAATGATTTTTTCCCTCTCCCCGTCTCTGGTTATAAAATCCTTTCATGTGAATTCAGCTCCTCTAGCTAAGCTAAACTCATTTCCATCAAGCTTGATTGAATACATGAAAACATTTGGGAGTAATCTCCGTTAAAAAAACTTAATGTTCCCTGACACCGTTTCTATTACCTCTTTTTAAGCATATTCACTGGGTTTACACTAGGACAGCTTTGATTTTAGGCATTTTTGAGGATGAATAAAACCGTTTTTAGTTATTCACATTAATTTTAAACCATCTGGTGACATATTGACCTGGTTTAACTAATATTAGCCTGTGATTAAATATATATATTGTTTTTATTTGTCCACAGTGGTTTGCCAAAGCAGGATTTCTCAGATTTGCTGAATCCTTTCGACACCCCAGCCTTCTGCAAGCTGTACAGAGGTACCGATGCACTTCGCCACATACGCCTGAACACATCTGGGTTGCTTTTCCCAGACAGCCTATAAATAATCCTGACGAGTTGCGGCACAGTTAAAACAGATTGATGCTTTGACTTAACATGTGCAAAACCGATGAGACGTTTCAAGCTCGATCTTCCGGTTTTCTGTTCTGAGTCTGTTTATTTTTTTATTTTTATTTTTTTATTTATTTATTTAAAATACTTGTTGTTTTTCTTCAGTCGTCCCTGTTGGGAAGGTGCACGCTCTGAATATCACCTGGGCTCTTCCTCCTCAGGAGAAACACTACAGGTGAGCCACACACACTTGAATYGGACACATGAATGAAGACAAGCATGTGACTGACAACGCTTTCACTTCTTTTTAAAGAAATTGCATCAAGTCTTATTTTTTTCTTCCCCCATCTTCCACCGTCTTTTTCTTCAAAATGAGGCCTCTTTATGTAAACAGAGAATTAGACCAATCCAAACATGGCGTGCGTTGCAGCAATTGTAGACAAATTGCATCATTTCTCCATCCCCCCCCCCCCCCCCCCTCTCTAATTTTCACATTTTCCACCGTTCTTTTCAGGGTAAAGCCTCTCCACTACATCTCGTGGCTGGTCGGCCATGAGGGCAAAGGAAGCATACTTTCATTACTGAGAAAAAAGTGAGTTAATGTTTCAGTCTGTTTTTTCATATTATTATTATTATTATTTATTTGAGCACACTCCAGATTGCAATTAAAACCTCAACTTTCGCTGGGCATATATGAGGTTTTCCTTGCTCTGAGTGAGCTCTGAGTGTTGGAGCTCTTATCCTCAAACTATAACACTTTTCGCTGTCGCACTTGACAATGTGATTCATACATTTTCATCTTTCTGGATGTAGCCGCTCAAGAGCATTTCAGCCTCTCGTTGCTAAGTGGCAGAGCGATTTGCCAAACCTCGCYTAGTCCAACAATACCAAGAGAGCCCATGTAATAACTCCCTTTACCATCTGCCCCACTTTGATACCACGTCGATGAAATGTTCCTGTTTATTCTGTGAGCTGGATTCACTTGTTGATAAATGGTGTCAGAGAAACTTGAGTGTACTCAGTCTCAATTTCTGCTTGTGAGGAAAAAACAACTTCAGAGACAGAAGAGTGGCTGTTTTTATTGAATTTAGACAACATCAAGTGCCAAGAGGATGATTTGAAATTAGGCAGATGTTCTTTGTAGAACTAGAAAAWAGGCCCTGTGTTGTAGACTGTTTGAGACAACATGGCTTATGTTACTTTGTTTTTTGTTTTCAGAAGCAGTTCAGTCATTAGCCTGGTAAAAGCCAGCCCCTTGTTCTACACTTTGCATCGTACAGAGGGTCTGGACTTTAGGCTATTGAGAATCGATTTCTTGCTGGAGGCGTGAAATCTGTTGAAGTTTAAAATTTAATTTTTAATTTTTAATTTAAAAAAAGCCAGGGACTTATTCAATGACAAAGCACTGTTTGTGTTGTACAATTCAATAATTGTTCCACATTTAATTTACTGGATTGAAGTCTGGGGTAAAGCTTGCAAAACAATTACAAATCCGATTTTTATTTTACAAAAAAGAGCCGTTAGAATTATCGCTAGAAAAGATTACAACAATCCGTCTAATACATTATTTTGTAAACTGAAAATTTTGAAATTCTGTGCTTTGATTGACTACAATATTTTACTGTTTATGTACAAGGCTCACAGAAACATATTACCTTCCAACATTCAGGTAAACTTTGTTAAGAGAGACAGTTGTTATTATGTAAAGGGGATGGAAATGTTTGTGAAGCCATATTTTCGTACTTGCTTGAAAGAAAGATGTACTTTAATCCAGTGTATAGTTTAATCCAGGGTATAGGATTATGGAATGGTCTGGAAGATGATCTTAAAGGGGACCTATTATGCAAAATTCACTTTTTAAAGTTTTTTTTACTCAACTTTGGGTATGTAATTCTTAAAAAAACAG